CCAATGTTAAAAAATGGTGAGTTTAGATAATTGGTAACAATGACCCTTTAATTATGTTCTAATTACACTTTTTACCCAATCTAAAAGTTTGTTTCATATATGAACTTAATTATACAGACTATACTGTTTTGATAAAAAGTTGATTACCGGCAACCTCAATCGACCTTACATAAAACCGGCATTCAAGGACACTATTGTGAGTATGTGGGATTTACGATCGAACTCATAACCTGTATTGTATTTGGGCAAAGTCACCTCACCGCTTTTCTGATTGATCTATACGCTATAGACCATTATACGGAGTCTTACATATTTTATGCAAGTACGGGTCTAAACGAACGGAACTGAATTTTAGTAATTTGTCATTCAAACTCAGCTTGAGAAAGTATTACGAAGCTCGAGCCTGAATGTTTTTTGAATTATCGAGATCGGTGATTGTTTAAGTGCTCGAACTAGCGATCAACTAACTCGTTTATTGGCTCGAGGTCGATGATTTATATATATTTTTATTGTATTTTTATAGTATTATGAGCATGTTTGGCTTGAAAAAAGGTATGCTCGAACAGTCTGACTTAACTCGACTCGAATAGTTTTATCAAGTTTCAAGAGAGCCGAGTCAAACATTGGTGTATGAACCTCAACTCGTTAAGTTAAACGAGTTCTGTTTTATGTTTGAAATCGGCTCGAGCTCGAGTAGCTCGTTAAGAGATCGAACATTCTACATCCCTGTCTGTAAACCAACTTATCCTAAGTTTGACAGGCTGTACTTAGATAAGGATTTAACTGTGAATTAGTATATGATATAGATACCACATTCGTCATGACTTCAGTATCATTTATAATTATGAAATAGATCAGTTATAATCAGACTTTCATACGTATATCTTTATTTACGTCATTATATCGTTTTGACGATAATACATCTTTCCCAGCAGATTCAACAAACCAACAAAATAGTAAAATCACTTGTATGGTTGGTTGTGGGTTTTCGGGACAGCTTAAACACACCAACTAATCCCTCGGACGACCATGAATGACCTGGAGTCATTGCACGCGAATCTCTACGGCCACAAGGGCTTTGGTAGCATCTAGATTTGAACTCGAGGTAGATGAGACTTTCAACTACATCTCTGTAAGGCTTAATAATAATGTTGCGTTACTGGCTATAGAGATGAGCAGTTGGTTCCGTTAAGGGGGATCAGACCGATTGAGGGCGGATTAGTTTTGGACCAGATAGTTATATTATTTTCTAGGAGGACTGATTGCAAACACGTGTCTAATATGGATTTATAGTTATTATTTCCATTATTATGTATATTTATACTGTATTATAAAGCATTTGACAAAAACTCTTAAAATCATTTTTTATGCATGAAGTGTTGTTTATTGATGTATATTACTTGAATTCAAGATTATAGATAATTTTGCACAACTTATTAAAGCTCCATTTTTAAATCCATGTAACTAACTGCAAATAAAAATAATCAAATACATGATAAACATTTACTTTAAACATAGAAAATTTAAAATATAATTAAGACAATCATTGAGTTCTAATAGAATGTTTAATTATTATTTTTATAAAAAATTATATCATTAAACCAAAAATAAATTACTTTGTTGTTGAATCTAAATTAAATTATAATAAAATTTTGAATTAAAGAAGTTACACAAAAAAACGAGAAACATTATCGTTTTCTCAAAACCACGTAAAATCGTATTATATCGATAGAGACAAATAATAAAATCTGAACATTAAAATCGAGATTTATCTCGCTGCATTGCGCAGGTACCCTTCTAACATAATCAAATAATTGAAAATTTATTTGATTGAAGCAAATAACATATATTATTTCAGATAATTTATTTATAGTAATGTTATTTAATTAAGGGGTCGTTTACTAAACACTTACCGAGTAAGTGTTTACTATGTAATTTTTCTTACCGGATGAATATAGTAAAGGTCAAAAATCTTACCCGATAAAAACAATAATAAAGATGAAGAATTTTACTTGGTAAGTGAGAGTGACGACTCTTATCCGGTGAGCGCTTACCAGGTTTACAACAATACCATTTTGAAAAAACCCATGAAATTATGATGACTTTTAAAACTTATGCATCATGTGTTATTTGATATAATTTTTTTCCATCTAAGACTATAATTTGGAATATTAATTAACATATACTTGTTTAATAATATGTTTGTTTTATGTGTATTTGGTCTACAATGTGAAACTTTTTGGAGTGTTTATGAAACACAAAATACACATAAAAATGTTTCACATTATGAACCGAGTACATGTGAAACAAAAATATGTTAATCAATACATTAAATCATATGTCTAGATAGAAAAAAAATCATATAAAATAACACATGATATACAAGTTCTCAGGGTTATTATAGTTTCATGGGTTCTCAAATGATTAATCTCTTATATTTATATAAAAGACCCTGAAAAAATAAAAAAACCCAAAAACTCATACAAACTGTTAAATTTAGATGATAGAAAAGATGATCTTAAAAACTGTGGTTATAACTATACTTTCTAAAAAAATACAGCATTTCCTCCTGAAATTTTAAATCAAAATCAATGAAAACAACAAAAACTGGAGCGAACAAAAACCATTTTATTATCTTTAATTTGATATATGTTCATCCATTTTTACTGGTTTTTCGATTCTTTTTTTAGGTTGTTTCAAAATCTTTTCTCTATATGTTTTACATATATAATGTTTTTTCATTAGTACTTAAAAAATAGATGAAATATAAAATCTAATGAGAAATAAAAATCCTTTTGTGGTCACAGATGTTCAAATGTGATAACTCCAAACAACCCGTGAAACGAATATTCACCTTAAGATTATTCGATTCGTATAATGGGTTGGATATTGATGTTAATAAAAAATAGATAAAATATAAATGAAGTGATGCATTAAAAACATGTGAGTCATTCAACTTCAACTCTCAAAAGGTCAAAAAAAAGGGACTGAAAAGGTTAACTTTTTGGTTGTCTTTTAACATGGTTTACATTAAATTCTCAACAATAACTCAATATTGTCGGTCACTCCTTTTTGCCCTTTTTGATTTAAAATAATATTAAAAATATATTTATTTAATATAACTTAATACATTTTTCGTCTAGAAATGTATTCGTGTAATACAACAAGATACATCTTGATTTTAATGTTTTATTTTATTTTTTATATTTGTCGATATAATACAGTTTTATGTGATTTTGAAAAATGGTAATTTTTTATTTTTGAAAAAAATATATCGATATTAGTATCAAATTAATTATTTAAAAGTTTTTGTTTTGTGTAATTTATTTAATTCAATATTTTATTATGGTTATAATTTAAGTTTTAACGAAATAATTTATTTCTGGTTTAATAATATAATTTTTTATAATAGTAATAATTAAGTGTTTTGTTAGAATTCAATGATGATCCTAATTGTATTTTAAATTTTTTATAATTAAAATGAGATGTTTATTCTGTATTTGGTTGCGTTTATTTACAGTTAATAAAACAAACTCAAACATGTAATTTTAATAAATTATAGTTACGACCCATTTTACTTGTAATATTGAATTTTAAGTAATAAGCAGTATTTCATGCATAGAAAATAGTTTTTAAGAGTTTGTCAATTTTTAGGGGTTTTCAGTTGAAAGTATTTCCATCGAATGCCGAGATCAATACGTCGTCTCAAAACATCAATACATTTACTTATACTTTTTTTAACAGTTGGTTTTCAGGTTCGATAATGAGTTAATAACGTAGAACTAATCATTTCTAATAAATGTAATCTCTACAGCTGATACTCGTTATGATGCTCAAGTCCTATTGAAGCTCTGATGTCAAATTCGATACGTTCAACCATCTACATAAATAAAAATATTCAAGACGACGAACATACGAGAATATAAAAATATACCAAAATCTCAACTGACTAAACCAACTCAACCTACACGGTTTGGGTTAGGTTGAGTTGAAAATTTTCAAACTGCAAATATTGGGTTAAGTTATTCAAATATCTTCAAATCGACCTATGAGCACCCTTAGCTAAACTATTTGAACAAAAATACCGGCCGTACGCGGAGCTCACCTTCAAGGATACCAATGTGAGAGGACATTTTTTGGCTCATTTAGTGGTTGAGACTCGCAGGTGGCTTGGGATCAGGGATGGACCCATAAAATTTTCCAAATGGTGACACCATTTGACCATAATAAACAAATATACTGATATTTTTCATAAAATTATCATTGTTTCCTCATATGCGAGATCATGTGTTCAATTCTTTTATTGCAATTTTTTTTCTTCAAAAACATAATAGATCTAGAATTAAAAGTTAAAACCTAAGAAAATAACACTATTCAAACTCAATTTAAAACCTAAGAAAATAACACTATTCAAACTCAATTATAGCGTGAAAGAAAAGCGTTGCAAACCAACTCTACCAAGTAAAATATGTGTTCTCATTGTAGTTACAAAATATATACGATGACACTTACCAAATTAATACCACAATACTTTTCACGACCCTATAACTTTTTACACTACAACGGATAAACAATACAATGACACATCCACTGTATGCTCTACATTAGGTTCGTCCATACCTAGGATAGAACCTTAGACCCGTTTCGTATTCGAACAAAATCACTATATCTCTTAACCAGCTAATTTTACACACTACAAACATCATTTATTAAACTATTTATGTCAAATTAAAACCCTAAAAATTGATTTAACTCACCCTTTCATGTGTATAAGGACCATTTTTACTAAATTTTAGGCTTAGTGTAGGCCCCAAATTCAAACACAAATGGAGACATTTGAAGAGTTTAAAAGGGATATTATATATTGATATTCACGAGATACATCCCTTTCACTTGAAGCAAATTGGAAAATAGTATCATATCAAACTTTGTAAGTCCAAGATATCTCCACGTCTTTCTCCATCAAAAATCTTGAATTTTCTCTCCATTTTTTTTCAACGAAAATGGAAAAACCCCGGTAATTTTCATGATGAAATCATCATGAGAACATCCCTTATCACATTCATTGCTTGGAGAACAAGCATAATTCCTCCCACCCACTTCGATTTCCATCAAATTAAACCCATTTCCGTTCATACCCATTTCTCGAATTCCCTCAATTCCAGTTCCGTTTTACGAATTTGAAGGAAATTTCGAAAAAGCATGCCCGGTTCTCCTCCGATTGACCACTCCCATGGAGAAACCAAAACCACCGGAATCTATGGAAGTTCTCTGAGACGCCCTTGTGATTTCTGCAACAAATCGACGGCGATTTTGTACTGTAGAGCGGATACAGCCAAGCTATGTCTCTCTTGCGATCGTGAAGTCCACTCGACTAATCAGCTTTTTACTAAACACACTCGCTCACTGCTCTGCGATGCTTGTGATTCGTCGCCGGCGTCGATTTTCTGCTCCACCGACGCCGCCGTCCACTGCCAGAATTGCGATTGGGAGACGCATAACAAGACGAATTCGAATTCTCCGACGACACACGACCGGCGACCTCTTGAGGGGTTCACCGGATGTCCTTCTGTTACTGATTTGTTGTCGATTTTAGGGTTTGAGGATTTGAGCAAAAAGGGGGTTTTTCTCGGTGGTGATGGAGGATCCGATTCTCATGGGTCGGGTGATGGGTTTCCGGATTACCTCGTTTGGGATACGCCGTCGTTTGTGAGCCTTGATGATTTGATTGTTTCTAGTGGCTCTGATCATAACTATCAAGCCATGGGTGTTCCTCCTTTACCTAAGGTATAAAAACCTTCTTTTCTATTTTTTATGATGCATTCCAGGGAGTTTCTGTCCGGATAAAGCTGACATTATCTGGTACGGTTGACCCGTATGTTACAAAAGAGCCGGAAACTGGATTGGTGTGAGAATTGTTTGTTAGCTGCTTAATGGAACTCACGGCTTATTGGGTCAGTCATATATGACCTTGTCGTAGTGCTTAATGATATAGAAAGCCTTAGGGCCGGCTGTTTGACCGTTGCTGAATGGTTTCGATGTAGTGCAAAATGAAATATAATTGTTCAGTAATTATTTTCAATGAAATTAGGATGCTGAATGGTTACGGGAGGCCCATGATACAAAATCATTCAAAGGATTTTAGAACTATTAATTTTTTTTTGCTAAACAAGATTTACCTCTTTAGCCATTCAGAGGTTGCCTCTTAATGAAACTATTAAGAGGTAAACAAACAGCCTCTTATTCAGTAAGCTTATGGGGAAAGCTTTATGCAACAAGCCATTTATTTTCCAAACCTGCCCTTCTCAACTAAACACGATCCTTCAATCTATGAAAAACCGCTCTCAAACTATGCAGTCAAATTAATTCACACAGACAACTTTATCCATACACATGGAAAACCAACTAAAAAGCCCCTAATTTAAAATTGTTGGTTTTAGGGCGAAATACATAAAAATGCAACGAAGTCTGTCTTGGTTTTTATTTAGTTTCAAACTTTTGAATTTTTATATCCATTTTGACCGGTAACCGGCTGATTTTGTAACATCTGATGACATGGATATTAAGTTATCGTTCACTTGAGATAACCATTTTGTAAACCTATCGTAAATGATATCGTAAATGAGTATCCATGTTATCAAATGTTACAAGATCAGCAAGTTAGTAATCAAAATGGGTACAAAATAGGAACTAGGAACTAAACCAAACTTTATTGCATTTTGATGCATTTTTGCCCCATTGTGTCTTTCTTCCGGTTACTGAGATCAAATTCATTGTGCCTTTTTATCGTTTGTTAATTTTGTTTAGGCTTTTGTTGTTGAACCAGAATCGAAATGCTGCTCTTGGAACGTACAAAGACGAACTTCTTCGCCAGCTTCGTGAATTGGCGATATTTGAACCGAATGTGGACGATGGTCAAGACATGGTTAAACCCATGAGCGAGTTTCAGCCTACGGTAACTACAGAAAGCATCCAAATCGAAGGTAGAAGTTCAGGATTCGAACATAAGTTGGAGCAGAAGATATATTCTCCATATGAGGTATAATCTCGTCTTCATTTTTCAAATTATTTGCATATCTTATGAACCAAACGAACGCAGTATATCCCACCTTGAGGTGGGTCTACGGGTTGGATGTATGCATATCTGATCTCTACCCCAAAGGGTAGAGCGGCTGTTTCCAAAAAACAAATTGTGACCGTGTTTGTTAATGTAGGGGTATTTCCGTCTTTTTGCCATTCTTCTAATCAGGTTTATTGAGCCAAAGTCCACGAATGTAGGGATTTGACACTCTTGGACAATTTGTGCCCGTTCAGCCTCTATTAAAGGGGGCAAGTTGGAGTCTCGCATCGGGTTGGGGCCTATTTGTTAGCAGTTTAACGAGCTTAATGGGACTTCAACTTATTCAGTTAGTTACATGTGACTGTTTGGTAGCGACTTAATGATATAGAAAGTGACTTATTCGGTAAGCTTCTAGGGGGAGCTTTATGCAGAAAGCCAAGTTTTTTTTTCCAAACCCTCCCTTCCCAATTAAAAAACATGTTCATTCCATCTATGAAAAAACCCTCCCAAACAAAAGCATTCCCAATTTATACAAACAGATTAATCTACACAGACAGACAACTTTATCCATCCATAGAATACTTGATGGATGAAGTTGTCCGTGTATGTAGATTAACCTGTCTGTATAGATTGAGAATGTTTCTGTTTGGGATGGTTTTTTCATAAACGGAACGAGCATGTTTTTCAATTGGAAGGGCAAGTTTGAATTTTTCTTTTTGCTTTTTGCATAAAGCTCCTCTAGAAGCTTACTGAATAAGCCACTTCTTAAGCTGCAAGTCTCATTAAGCTGCGAACAAACAGCCCTTAATGAAAAACCAACCAAACAACCCCTTAGACCAGGACCGTTTCTTCTCAATATATATTGGAAATGCTCTGGAAAGTAATCTAACGGGATTTCACATATTCTCACAGTGTTTTCGTATTTACAGGCAAATACGTTTCAATGGTGCCATGATGGTTCTGATGCTGGGGGTCAAGAATTTGTGTCTGACCAATTAGTCGGAGATAATGAGACAAACTGCGTAGTTCCTGATGAAAATTTATACAGCGTTCATAGTTCGAGCCACGCCAATGCTAATCATGAAGGCCGGTTGCATGATCATAACGTTGCTGCGGAAAACGTACCATTGTTTCCCGTTGTACGTGACATCAACAGCCAAGAGAGGGAGACCGCAATTTCGCGCTACAAAGAGAAGAAGAAATCTAGAAGGTAGTTCTACTTATTCAGTCTCGTGATTTTTTTATTCGAAATCGAAGATTTTGGTTTGTAATTTGTTTTTCTAAACATTTAATGCCGTTTTTCTTCGTATCTTACATAACAAAATTGGCTTTTATAAGACTTGATTTATAAGACCAAACAATTGTGTGTCCTATGTAAAGGTGTTACAAAAAGTTGATAGGATGCTTTTGGACATCGTAACAAGTTTTTTAGGACACTTTTAAAATAAGACGTCATATTTGAGTCTTTTTTATATAATATTATTTGAAAAATGTGTTATAAAAACAAGTGTTTTATGAAGGTGTTCATAGGCCACTTCTCAAAAACGTTTCATAAAAAGCTAATAAGACGTTTTATTTTTTAAGGGTCTTAAAAGAACTTGTTAGAATGTCTAAATACGCCTAAACTTTCTATTGTAATACCTTACATTGGATGCATAATGTTTGGTCTTATAAATACAAGTATTATATAGCAGTCTATTAGGACATTTAGAATTTTAGATAGAGAGTAAATTACGTCTTTCGTCCCTGTGGTTTGTCAAAAATTGCTATTCCTGTCCCATTTGGTTTAGAAATTGCAGTTTTCGTCTCTATGGTTCGTAATTCATTGCTATTTTCATCCTTATGATTTACAGTTTATTGTTGTTTTGGTCCCTATGGTTTACAATTCTTTACTGTTTTGGTTTGTTCTACTTAAAAGTAGGAATTACTGCAAGGACAAAAATAACAATAAATTACAAACCATAGGGACTAAAGTTGAAATTTATAAACCACAGGGACTAAAATAAAAGTTATTAACAAACTACAGGGACAGAAATTGTAATTTACTCTTGGATATATTCCGCAACCTATAAAGCCGATTTTGTCTTTTAACTTTCGGGGTCCTAACTTTGACTCTTTTGACAACAAACGTTGGAATTTGATTGTGGGGTCGTAAACTGCAGATCTTCCGTTAGATGCATAGATACGATATTAAGCTGATTTATTTGTTTGGTTTACCCGTTATGACAGGTACGATAAGCATATTAGGTATGAGTCGAGAAAGGTCCGTGCCGAGAGCCGGACGAGGATTAGGGGACGTTTTGCCAAATTGGATCGGTGAAACCATCGGTGCACAGGTTTGACATCGGATCTTTGGTAGATGATAGTGTAGAGTTGTGCTATGGTAATTGGTAGTCAAAGGCGGTGTTTGATGCTCCCGAGCGGCAAGCACCGCCTTGGTTTCCGGTTATCGTGGTTTTCTGTATAGTTGATGGCTTCATCTTGCCTCCTTGGCATTGGTAATTAGATTAGTGTTGTTCGTAAGCGGTTTTCAAGTGTGTTTGTTGCAAGTGTAGCTTGTTAATCAAATAAATGCGAGTTTCCTAGTCGATTTCTTAATGAATGGTATTCGTTCATTTGAAACTTGAAAGGTAGAGGCTCGAGGATAATTTGGCACACCCGTAGATCGATGCGGGGATTAGACGTGGTTAATGGTGAGATTTTCGTCATTGGTTCGGTGTGCATCCCAGTAATTCTCGAAAGTACATATTTATTTTCGTAATCCATAAGTCTTTTCGGAAACAGTCTCTCTTAAGACGGAGTAAGGTCTGCATACATCTTACCTGGGCCGCGGCTCCGCTCTATCGGCATATAACAAATTTCTTTTATGAACATCGTACCTTTAATAACCTAAATTTTAATTATTTAATTATATTGGTTCCCACCATTTCGACGATGAAAGGGTTCGTGTTTATGAATCTTTCCCGTTCCACGGTAGCATGTACGGCTTCATCCCAATGGTGTAAAAATTTATGAAAGAACCCGAAGTAAATATAAATAGGCGTTGCATTTCACATCCGTTTGGTGTTGCTGCAAACTCGAGGAGTTGTGGAGGCCAACGACAACCAAAGTGGTGGCATCTCCGGTGGCGGAGAACAACAGAGCCGCCAAGAAGTTTTGAATCCAAGAAATACTTGGCAACTTTCAACGATCGACATAGTAGAAGAAAGGCATTGCGGGTTAGCCTTGAAGTTGTGCAAGCTTCAACTGCCTCTATCGTTACGAGACTGGAACAAAAGTCATCGAGACGACCTTATTCCACCACTACCAATGTCGCGTGGTATTCATGTCCTATAATGTTATGTAATCAGATATTGGGCTTTTTTGGTTCAGGGTCCACCGACGTTAATCGAGGTGCGTGTAAGCTGGTCTGAAACCTACCATTACAGAAAAATAAATAAATTGTGGGGACGCTAAGCTAGTTTGAACGGATGGATGCCAGAAACATGATTGATCATATTTACTTCCGTTATCGAATAGTTATTTTGGATTCCGACTTGTATACATGAACAAACCTACCCGGTCTGGGCTAATTGTCATCGAGGATTATGTGAAACTAGATGTACAAAGTCTGGCTTTTCAAACCCGTTTTTAGTAAGCAAGAATAAAGCTCGATGTTTTTAGGCAGGAGCCTTTTGAGGCTTTGAAACCCCCGCCGACCCAATCTTGCTTTTAGCTGTCTTGGGTCGGGCTCCAGGCTTTTTCAGACTGAGTTTCTGACGTTTTGTACATTTCAAGGTGAAATTGGTCGAACAAATTTATTGACAACAAATTGTAATGGCTATTGACGTTAACAACACATTAGAAGATATGCCATATATAATTGAATCAGTTCATCAATTATCAAAACTGAAGGAATTTAAACTGTGTATTTGAACAGTTTCACTTGCCATACGTATACGATTTTAGACATCAGTTGAAGCACGCTAGTCATACTTAAAGATTAAAGACAGTACCTTAGCTTAATCCTTTTTTGGAAAAGTCGAGTGTCTTTCTATCACTGTGTTTTATAGACACACCTCGACATAAAAAGGCTAATTTAAAACGCAAAATGTCAACTAAGAAACAAAAATAAACGACATCATACATCACAAGAGAATTCCGACATTACCTAATTGGAAAAAGACTATATATAACCAATCATTGCTATAAAGATGGTAAGCAGAAAAACGTGAGTCGTACTCATAGCGTTTAATGTAAATATGCGTGTATGTTTCTAGGGTCTGTATACGGGTCGATGCATCGCATGTATCTTTTTTCTGCCTTCACATGTCATGTTTCAGTATGAGCTATTTCAAGTTAAAAGTAAGCTGAGACTGAGAACAGATGATGTCGTGTTAATTGATGAAACGACTTTAGAGGATAAGTTGTACTGACATCAAAGAAATTTTTATCAAGATACTTTCAACAAAGTTCAGTTTAGTTACCAACAGGCCTTTGACGTAGCGGAATTGTAGTATTTGATCTCCTATGAGGTCAGAGGTTTAAACCTCACCAATGTGAGAAGGATGTGTGAGTTTATTTGTTGCATTTGCCGTATATAAATATTATATACTTGAAAAAAGTATAGTTTAGTTAATACTTAACTTGATGTTTTTCGGTCGATGTGTAACAAAGAATCAAGTTTTCTTATGTATACCTACTTTGACCCGTAAATTTTTATCTTGTATCATTTAATGACGTGGATACCTGCATACGAAATGTTTACAACAAAATATATTTCCAATTTTTAATTTATTTTAATCAGTTGCATGTTGATCTTGTAACATTTGATGAAGTGGATGTCAAGTTTATTGTTCATTCTATTGTAAGCATCTGGTATACGAATATCCATGTCATCAAATAAATTAATATATTACTGGTATACATAACACGTATAAATTAGTTTTATACTTATATTAATTAAATAATTTTAACGGGTCACTTTTATCAAGATTAATCAAATCAAAGGTAATATAGAAAAGTCCAAAAAAAACCCAATAAACTTTAGTGTTTAGAATAATTAAGTCATACGATAATTTTTTTTGAAACAAATAAGTCATTTGACATTGTAAAACTTGATAAATAACTACTTGAACTTTCTAAAAATTGTTGGATACATCCTTAAGGTAACCGGTAACCTCTTTAGTAGGTAAAAATACATACTATATATACACGCACACACCACACACATCAGCCTTCACCTGCAGAGAGAAACTCGTCCCTTCCATCCGGTGACCATCTCGGTCTTCTCTCGACTCTCTTATTCTTCTCCACCGATCAATATCGAGATTGAGCTCCGTTCTTCTTCGGTGACATATATATAGTTTGTATTTTTACCTGCTAAAGAGGTTGCCGGTTACTTTAGGATGTATCTAACAAGATTTAGAAAGTTCAAAGAGTTATTTAACAAATTTTGAAATGTCCAAATACTTATTTATTCTAAAAAATTATTCAAAAACTTAATCATTCTAAACATTAAAGTCTATTGAGTTTTTTTTATTTTGCTTTTTCCAATCAATAAATATGTTTATTGTTAATAATATAGTTAAATGACAAAAATAGCCCTGAGAAGATGAAAGAAGAAAGTCCCAAAAAAGCAAATGCCCTTCAATGATGTCGTTGGCGTTAAGGGGTAGCAGTGTCCAAGTGGACCTCATTTTACTTTTTCCAATATCAAAACGTAACCAGTGTCAATTACGTGGCATCTCAACCGTCCGATTTCATCTGCTTGCTTCACGGTATCAATTGGCTCCACCACACTCGATCGAACCCCCATGTAGCTGTATTCTAGTTTACAACTCGAGGATTCGTATACGTACAAGCGTTTTTGGTGTAGAAGAATAAGAATGATTGAGCGCCGTTAAGTTGTTGTACATTTACGTACCCAAAAGGAATTGTCTAAAAATAGCATAAACCATACGTTTTTTATGTATCATTCCGTAATAATATCTTACCACGTGACTTTAAATCACAGTCTACTTTAAGGGGTGGTTTGTTTACCTCTTAATAGTTCCATTAAAAGACGATATCTGAATCGTTAAGAGATGAATTTTGTTTGACAAAAAAAATCTGTCTCTTAATGATTCTAAAATTTTCTGAATGATTTTGCATTTTGGGTCTATTTTAACAATTCAGTGCCTATTGTAAACAATTATATTTCATTTTGCACTATATCATGAGAACTTCTTAATCATTATGACCACATAATCATTTTGTATCAAATCATTCAGCAACTACCAAACAATTGTCATTTGGTTAAATAAAAAGTGTAATAATGTTTAAGAGTTGATGAGATGAAGAAATTATTAAGGGTAAAATTGTTATTTGATTAATTAAAAGCGTAATAATTATTACATTTCTAAACCTTAAGTCTTCTTATTTTGGAAATTTATTTTGGAACGTAAAGAGTATATAACTAAGGTATTGTTCGGTTGGTTTTCATTAAGTCTTATATGAATAAAACAGTCTGTGAGGATTAATTTATCTTATAGATTGCTAAAGTTTTTGTTTGTGAGAGTTTTTTCATAGAATGATGGAACGTGTTTTTTAATTGGGAGGGATGAGTTTGATTTTTTTTTTTTTTTTACTTTCAACATAAAGTTCCCCCTAAGAGCTTACTGAATAAGCCATTTTTCATGTTATTAACCTAATATTAAACAGTTATATATAACTTACTGAATAAATTATGAGTCTCGTTAAACTCATTAAGCTGCTAACAAACGGACTTTTAAGGCTATGCATATTTTTGGTCTAAGAGGCCATGGGCTAAAAGATTAAGCTATATAATTTGTTTGATTTTGAGTCTAAACATATGACTTATTTTATTAAGCCCATCCATTGAGGCCTTAGCCCTTTATCAAACAATTATTTTTCATTTTATACGTATTAAACAAATGGTTAAAATAATAATTTTTGTTACTTAAATTATCAGTTAACGCCATAAAACAAACAATAATTAACCTGAAGTCATTTATACGAATTAATCCTTGTAAATAACTTAGGGCTGTCTGGTTAGAGGTATTATACAGTAATCAATGAGAATGACAATAAAAAAAAAAAACTGTTTAGTTTTATATAATATAATAGGTTCATTCCCCCAGAAACCCAAATTTTGATTCCAGGTTAAACCGGGGGGAATGAAAATCCATTCCATTTCATTTTCATTCCCCTGACCGAACCAATGTTAATTGAAAGGATCAATCAAACTATGGTTCGGGAAATGGGATGAAAGTGATGATGAAAATGAAATGATGGCAGAATGAGAATAAAATTTAATTTTCATTTTGTCCACTTTAACCTTGAATGAAAATTTGGTTTTTGGGGGGATTGAGCTTATTGTATGATATAAGATCAAACAGTTTCTTTTATTTTCAGTATAATTAATTACTGCTTAATACCTATAACAAACATCCCATAAGTCTTCAAACATAATGTTTGTTAGTTCAAGGCTTAAATTTAACTGGGTCAATCTTCTTAAAAACATGATTAATAAGATAAAGAGACTCTGATACGGTGATGGATAAATAAGGAATTTTAATTTTAAATCCGGTATATTTTTCACGTGACAAAGAAGGATATAAGATGTTTTGCGTTTTTCTTACGCGGACAATCGTTTTTCACCTGTTAAGATTGGTGAACTACAGACAGTGCCAGAAGAAGGTTCTATTTCACGTGCTTCCTGTGAGGATTCGGTTCAGTATTTTATCTTCATACGCGTTGTCTAAGGAATGCATAAATCAAACGTTTCTTGAATAACTTTAATTAGACTCCATCGCTTCAAAATCATGCTTCTAATGGAATGATTAGTCATTACCAAAATAAGCTTTTCGTGCCAAAAAAAGATTGTAACTCTATCTTGTAAAATACATTTTTAAACTGCCTTCTTTGTTTTTTCCCTGAATAATATATTATATCGTTAACGTTACAACTGACACGAGAATAAACCTCCAGTACAACTCAGACGTATGGTACATAGCAATCTTATTTCATAAGTAAACTATCGACACTTTTTATATCAAACTGAACCTACAGTTCACATAAATTGTGCTATAAAATATGTTTTTTTTTAGTAGTTACATATCCGAAATTCATGTCTAAAAGCATATATTTGACCATTAATTATGTGGTTGGTTCGTATTTAACTGAGTTTTTTAAACTTAAAAATCCGTAAGATTAAAATTAATACCAAAAAAATAGATTTATTTTTATTGTATTTAGTTTCCTTCTGAAAGACGACAAATAAAATATTCTAGAAAGATGAAGAAGTATTGTGAATAGCGTACGCAAAATATAAGGACTGAAATTGCCAAAATGCATACTCAAGGGTGTTATTTGGAATCATATATAACATCTGCTCAAACCACTACCACAAAATTAACTTTATAGAACACCAAAGATGTCTTACTCTTTTAATAGACTGCTTGATAGGACTTAAGTTTACAAGATCAAACAATAGGCCCCCCTCCCCCCAACACACACAACACATTAGAATTTTAGTTTTTTCATAGGATAGATATTTTTTCAAATAATGTCATATAAAAAGACTGATAAAACACATTTTTTTAATTGTCTTAAAAAAAATTTAAGACGTCAAAAACATCATATCAATTTATTGTAATACTATATAGTACGTATAATTGTTTGATCACATATAACTTCAGTTCTATTAAACAATTTATTATAATACTGAGATATAACAGACACTTTATAAAACAGATTTTGTTATAGTCATCAACAGCTACTTAATTTATTTAAAATATTGTTTTATTTAAAAAAACAATCATTTTTAGTTTTTGTTTTAAATTTAAATATCAACATATCACTTTAATTGTTCTAAAATATATACAACACTTTTTCCTAAATTTATTTGTTGTCTTTCTATTTATAACCACTACAAGAAATCGGTTCACCAAGTTCATTTTATTTTATTTGCATTTATTACATATGACAAATAAATACATTTTTATAAACTTATATGTAAAGACTTATGATTATGTGAGACCAGTCTATTTTTGTGATACCATTTTTTTACATTTGAAACTTCACAGCAAAACACTATGAAGATCGAGGTTTTTTTTTACCTTTACAACATTTTACTATTGTAATGCCCATCTTTTGCCCATGAGAAATGTTACGTAATCGAAAACAGATTCTTCAAAAGCACTCCAAAAAATAATAGCTAAATTAAAACTTTAGATCGTTTACAGCGGAAGACTTTAAAAGAATAAATATATAACTTAATGTCAGTCCGTCTCATACCGGGTTGCTTTACAAATTTATATATCATAGATGATTGCACCTAAATATTGAACTTAAATGGACTAGACAAGTCTCTATGTATGCCCTTCTTTTTCTTTGTCTAATTTGAAACCTTCTGTCCCTGAGATGCATACTATAGTCAGCTTATAAAGCTCAGTGAGTTTATGGTTTGCGTGAGTAAAGATCATTTCACATCATACATATCAACGTGTAAACTTTGTACCAAATAGTATGCATTTCTGAAAAACATGCAACACTGAAAGAAAAGAGATCTCATAAATTGTCTGTCGGGTATGAGTCATTTAGTCACTGGCATTCCCTGAGTTGTCCGAGCTGCACCTGTCTAGACACTCATTACGGGGTTGTGCCACTTGTCATGTGACTTCTTGGTCAAATGCTCACTCGCTAAAACTGATCATAAAACTTTCAAATGAAATAACATGCTAGAGTTATTTGAAAACAAAATAAACACATAACATGCAACTAATCATAAAATAAGATACATGTAAAATATATCGTGTATGTAAACTGAAACATCATGCATATGTACACATTATTATATAAATCATATAATGCTCCAAAAAAAATTTATACATAGGTATGCATCCCATTGTAAGTCTCATGAAGACTCACCTTATTACGTATAGATTGACTACCGATCGCTCCTGACCAAATGCCTACACATTTCATACCATAACATTTCATTAACGTCTTAATTTCTCAAAAAATCAACGAAAGTCAACTATTGTCATTCTGACTCAACCTAAAGTCAAACCTCGTATCCGAGCATCTTAATATGCCTCAAACAACTCTATTTGACTCATCATTAAAATCCACATGGATCAAACGTGCCAAAAGTCAACCCTTGGTCAACTTAGTCAATCCCGACTAACTATAGTCAAGCCCCAAATCTAAAACTCGATGGCGTCCCAAAAAAACATTTTAATATCTTATAATCTCATCTCTCTAAATTAAAACGTCACAATAATTACTTTACTCAAATTACGACGCTTAAATCATCAAAACAATTTAATGATTTATATCAGCATTCTCCTTAGAAAATAAATAATTAACTAATATTAATATTCAAAAATAAATTAACTAAATTTTAATTAAATACTAATTCAATTTAATATATTAACTAATTTATAAATTAAATTAACTAGTTAATATAAATTAGTTAACTAAATCTGAAATTTATTAATTTGGATCAATTCACAAAATTATATAACTTATGTACTCAAATTAAGTCCCAAAAAATATAGACTTCTTTTGTTAAAACAATAAGGGCCTAAAATATATAGTCCACTATATATATTTGGCCCAACAATAGGAACAAAAATCAACGTCGGCAGCCGGAAAAACAGGCCGTTTGACCTCGTTTCTTCATCGTTTTCAATGATTCTTTTTGCAAAATCTCTAGAAAATGATTTTCTTCAACCATAGGAACAAAAATCAACAAAAACCATCAAGTATTGAGTCTCATATGCCCGTTTAAAGTTATGGTCTTAAAACCACTCAAAAATCAGTAAAAAACTCAAAATCGAACATTCAAAACTAAAATTTGAGACATAAGGCTACTAAGATTTCATAGAAGACCTAAAAACGAAACCAACCATATAAAAAACTCGAAATTTGGTTGAGTATTTTACCTCCAATCGTCAATAAACGGAGTTTTTCGAACTCAAACATCAACCTCCGATTTCTCTTTCGAAACTCGATGAAAATTCGGTTTTCTTGAAGCCAGAGTGTAGAGAAAAGTGTTGGCTACATATATCTGTTCTTTTTTTTTGTCTTAATAATTGAAGATTCGAACTGATATAAAGCTTCAAAGGAGAGGTCGTTTTCGCGTTTCTGAATTTGCAGATCTGATGTATATTTACAAAACAGGTCCTTCTGGTTTGGACCTGTTAACATCTAACCCAACCCTGAACTATTATAAAATAGCATTCGGCCTCTTGGCTCTATTACTTTTGGCATCTTTACACATTTCACCCCTAATATGACATTTTCTTTCATTTTTAATCCAATTTTGGAATATATTTATATTTTTTTCCAATGAAATAAAACTCATTTTATTTTATTTTCCTTATTCTTTTTGCTTTCTAATTTATTTATTTACCTCATTTTGGGGTGTCACAACTGTGAAGTTTCAAGTGTAGAAAAATGGTCTCACAGAATTTTATAAAAATATGTTGGTCTCACGTGAACCCTAACCTATGTGTAAAATCAAATATTGAATTTATTTTAACATGCATGTTAAAATTATATAAACAAAAATCTTTAATTAAAACAAAACAGGGAATGGTAAATTATACAAAACAAAAGAAAAACATTGAAATAATCATCACAAGTTTTTTTTAAGTATATAACATATTTTACATACAGCAAATGCAACAAATAAATTCACATACCCTCTTCATTATTAATAAGGTTTAAACCCTTGGCCTTCTAGAAGGCAAGAGGCTTAGATACCGTTAAACCAAATACTTTTTAGTAATCATTAAAAAGTTATTAGAAAAAGAAAAACAATTATAAGAGCATTTTTAAATAATTATATAAAATATAGAAAATTGAAATTTTGATACAACATATACTTTATATTGTTATTTAAAAAAGTGAAAAGAGACAGAAAAAATCTAAATTTAGAAAATTCTTGATGGAAAATACATATTCTTTATACAATTAATTTGTATAAAGTTTTATTAAAAAGGGTATTGAAATGGTAAAAGTACATAATATTTTAATATTACAATCATGATTTTAACTTTTAATTATATATTTTAGTGAATTTATCATAAAAAATTTGGTACAAATTCTCTAAGTTTGTATAACACAAGTTTCACAACCGCTATGATTAGCAAATAATTTATCAACCCAAAAAGAATTTCAATAAGCAAAAAAGTTACCACATGTAAATGCATACCTGTTGCTTTGGGAGACTATAAAAATGGTGGTTATGTGACGTTGTTCCATAAGCTCTTCTCTTTCATTCAGTTCAGAGCTTCATCACCCCACCAACAATGGCTTTCCCAACTCATATCTTGCCTTCTGTTTTTGGCATTCTTGGTATCATTTCTTGTTCTTCATCATCATCTTCATCATCATCCTCCCACAATTTCTTAATTCCTTGACTCGTTTCATGATTCTTTAATTGCTTCTTTTTTTGTTTTTAACAGGCAACATTATCTCCTTCTGTGTGTTCTTAGCACCACTGTAAGATCTTTTTCTTTATATATAATGTGTGTGTGTGTATATATATATATATATATATAT